GTAATTCAAACGAATTGAAAAGTTTTTCGAGCACCGGGTCCGGCATCTCCTCCTTGTGTTAACGCGAGCCTGCGTCTTTCAATAATGGTGATGCGTTGCCGATTCCACTCTGCCGGATGAAAAAAACGGCGCACGGCGCAGACGGCTGCCTATCGTCCGCAACTTTTTATCCTGCCTGCAGCAACTTCATTTCCGCATCAGCGGAGCCCCGTTTCCGCTGTTTCAATGCTAATGCTCCTTGCCAAAAGGGCGGGCGGGCTCGCTCGCTCGCAACATTTCTCTTATCTCAATTGAAGCCGTCAGCCGATTATTACCTTTACAAATTTAAACATCCCATTGCACTTTCCCTTGAACCGATGCTAGACTACAGAAAGATGCTCGGCAGCCTCTACAACGAAAACATTCATCAAAATTCCTGCGATTCTTTCAATCGTAATTACAAAGCAGAAGATACGCATCATTGTAGATAGGATTTTAATAAAGAAACAGGAAACCCTAAGAGAAATGATATTATGAAATTATTATTATTTGATCGTTCAAAAGTCTTAAGCTGACAGGATAATAGTTATCCTTACTCCTTAACAATGCTTACGACTGAGATCGTGGTTCAAGAATTCTAAGGCTTTCAGAGTTTGCGAAGGTTCGAAGGGTCACAAATATTTGGTCGGAGGGACAAGGGTTGCTAGAGTTCTTCGAGGGAATCTCGAGATTACGAAGGTGTTAGAAATCTCGCCATCGTTGGAATGATCAATCCCCCAGGACCTTTCGATTCCCCTCGTGTACAAATCTTCAGGAACCATCAACACCCTTAGGACCCTCATAACGCTGGGTACCTACCGTAACTGTTTGTTCAATAGCGCAAATTTTTTATATTGTATTCGATTGAAAGAATTGCCGATTAAGAGTCCTCGTGTCCGGAATTTGAATGTTTGAAGGAAATCAATGTCAAGGTTGTAAACGTTGCTCGGTCATTTGATTTTTAATAATGGTTGTCACAGTGAATCCCTTCGGTGGGACAAATTATTATTCACGAGAATTCGGCAATATCGGGCATGCCATTGCTGCAACAGACAGGAGAAGAGACGAGGCCTGGCATTGTCACCGTTACATTCATTGCGGGCAAGTTGGTCGCTTGGCTGATACATAATAGTTGAACCATTGTGTCATTTGATTGCATAATTCCAAGTAGACAACGAACGATCTGTGTAACGTGCTCGCGCTCTACCGTATATTTCGCTACTATCAATTCAACATCAATTCATTACAACTAGATGCTGGTTGGTTCGGGCATCCTGTCCTAGATTTTGATCGATAATCCTATAATGTTTCACGAAATGTTTGTTATTCCGTCTTCCGTAGAAACCTACAAAATTATTCCCATCCGTAATGGATTAATTCTGATTCTACTCGATTCCCATCTTACTAATTGATCCCCCATCGGAATAATGTAGCGAATTCGTGGAACAATTTTGTATCGAAACGAAGATCTGTAATTCTGGCAACGAAAATTGCTCGTGAAAACTGGACCAACGAGGTATGAATTTCGATAGTGGAATCTCTTGAAAATTATTTCAACTTCTATACCTACCGACCGGTGCAAGTGAAACCATTTTATCTTTCCCGTTACAACGTTACCATCTTCTCCCCCGTGTATATTCGTATTAAAATGCAGATCGACGCTACCTACGTCCGACCAACCACATTTCTCCGTTCGAAATTTTCTCGAAAATCGTTCGGTAACTCGCGCGAACGCCACGGTCCGTTCACTTTCAAATTTTCCCATTACAATGCAGATCAATCGCGTTCCTCGCGGCCAGTTTTCAGTCATTTCGAAGAATCGATTTTTAGAGGATCGATGGTGTATCGGCGATGAAAATATCTTCACAGTGCGTACACTGCCTGAATTGCGCATTTCCCCGGTGACATATGCGTACATGAAATTACTCGGGACATTGTCATTTATTGCATTGAATTTCAATTATAGTGAAAGTTCAATGTGCCATAATTGTCCATATCAAGGACCTTATCGATCTTCATTTCATTTTGAAGCGACGATTGAAATTCGAAATTTATATTTCCGAAACACTCTATTTGATCCTAAAATTACGATGTACCGCGATATAAGGAATTGCTCGCGTTGTTTCCTTCGCTCATTCCGATCTGGTAATAAGATTCTTGGTGAGCAACTCGGAATTCAGAATCGTCTAAGATGTATTGTCAGCGAACGAGATATGAGAACAAGAAAGGAGAGAACTGTAAGCATAGCAACAACATTACAGATGCAATGGATGTCTCTAGGTTGCAATAGTGCTCGTACGCTGGCGCACACCTTCGGTCATGCTCATTTCCATAACAGGATAGGTACATATTACCCGCTGTACCTACGTCACAATGTTACTCCCTTCTGTGTACGGCTTTGCTAAGATTTCTCTTGCCATTTCTCCTCTTTGTTTCCCTTTTTTCACTCCTCCTCTGTAACGTTTCTTGTTCCTTTCTCTCGTTTTTCTTACCATTTAGCGTTCCAGCTTTACCATTATTTCTCGGTCCCCTGGATTCTTTGTTTCTTTCTCCTCCTTTGTACGTTTCCTTTTTTCTCCGCTCTTGTAACCAGTCCACGATTCAAGGCGGAACGAGAGTCGCGAGATGGAAGTTCGATGATTGGAGAAACTGCGAGGTTCCTTTTCTTTCTTACCATTTTGCATCGAGCTTTGTGTGTCTCCAGGATTGCTTGTCGCAATTTACCGTATAATATAGTCATCGTAACGAGATTTTCCGCGAGATTTAAGGAACGACGAAACAGAGAAGCTTTTTCCATCTCGAGACTCTTGTCGGGACGTTTTAAACTCGTGAAAAGTGTTCGCAATTAGTCAACCTTGTTTTCTTTCTTAGTTCTTCTTATCATTTACGATCTGTCACTTCCTGTCTGCCGAACTTCTTTGTTCATCTTTTTAAGGATCATAAAATCCCTGCCCTTTTCTTGATCGATAAAACACCTATTCAAGCGGAGGAATGAATTTTATTGTGCAAAGTGGACGCTGAAAAATTCGCCACGTTCGTCAATTTCAAACACTTCTCTTTCTTTCGGCAAGAAATTTATGAGCCGATCAGCAGTCCCAGAATTTCCAGGGAAATTACGTGACCCGTTCGTAGTTAATCAAACGAGACCGTGAAAAAAATGGGGTAGAAGGTAAACGAATTTATTACTGGACGGACCAAAAAAAAAAAAAAAAAGAAGAGATATATTGAATGAAAGGATCGAAACGCGCGAATGGGACGGTGTCCAATCGACGAACCGACGCGTTATGGACGGGCAAACTGTCGAATTGTCATTTTGCCAAACGGATAAATTGCTAGAACGGATATCTCATCGAACGGACAAATTGCTGAATATGTTGTGTCGGCAATAAGCGTCCGATACGTACGGGGCCCGTATTAAACCACGCTGAATGGATTTATTAAACTTTTGTATCCTTTGCTGAAGCCGCGTCAACTCGGGTTCGACGTTCTCAAAGCGAGACTGGTGATCGTGAATTCGGTTAAAATGGAAAATAAAAAATAATGATACTGAATGGGACAGATTTCGATGCATTTAGCAGAATGTCGTTTAAAATTCAGCAAAGTTGTTGTACAACATCAGACGTCGAATTGAACCCGGCACGTTTTTAATATCAAAGTAAGATCTGGTGTATCCTTTCAACTCGCAGACAATAATCCCTATTATCCTCAGTTTTTAATTATACACGTGGTAATCGGGTAATGGTTCGTCCGTTTCTTTTTTAAATTAACAGAATCATTAATGATTCAATATTTACGATTGCAAGAATTATACCAGATAATACGCGTTGTGCTTCATTCCCCATCCAATGGATTACAATTTCAACATCAGAGGAATTTCAAACGGATGCCAACAAACGCAACGTTGAATAAAATTTCGAACGGATAATTCTTCGTCGAAAGCGAGCGAAATGTAATTGCTTCGAATACGTTTTAATTTATAAATGAAAGCACAGTTTCAAATTGGTGATATGAAAGCAAAGAGAGACAAAGGTATCCGCGAGGAAAGAGAACCGCGTTCACGATTTTATGCATCGTTACCCTGTTAACTCGGCTGATTTTTTGATCGACGGAAAATTATTTTCTTTCTGTATGCGTAATAAAAAGTGTGAACAGATACATGTAAATAAACTGGCTTTGTTCGTAAATTCAAACGCGATGTATTTTCTTCCCAAGGTAAAAAGTTAATTATAAATAATTTTATAATTAATCTTCTATCATTTACTGATTATTTGCTTCTGTTATTTGTCGGTTGTGTCTGGTGCAGGAAACTTGTGTACGCGTTACTTAACAAAGGAATCGTGTAGACGCTTATTTATTCAGAGAGGTGAGGACAGGTGTGTAACCCTGGACACCTCTTGATTGGTAAACATGCATATTTTATCCTGTCTCGCAATCGGATAACGTGTTGTTCGTATCAATTATTCTCGAAAACTCAACGCCGCTGCTTAATGGGAACGGAGTTTTAATTGAAACGTAATCCCAATTAAAATCAGTTGGCGATCCTCCTCCCCCGCACGAGCACGCGTAATCGTGTTAACGAAATGAGATGTCTACTCGAGCACAAGATACGGCCGAGTATTTTAAACTGGATACTCGTTGTTTTGCAAAATTTCTCGATAACTCGAGCAACAGAAGGGATTGTATTTCATGGCTGTGAATACAATTTCCCGGTAACACATTCGTGTCTGCTAAAGCGATACCTTCTCTTTCCATAACTTTGAAATCTCGGTTTCGCAAATTTATAATTTTGTTTAATAAAATTTGACGTTACTTATTTCCGAAAGTTGGAAAGCATAAAACGTAACATATTCCACAGAGAAAGACGAAAAATATGGGGTGACATTTTTATTATGAAACAACACGATACGCAGGATTGGTTTGATGCTAAAAACTTGTTTCAGTGAAACGCAGGATCGAATAAACAACCGTACTAGATTTCTCTCTCTCAATATATTTATTCCGTTTATTTATTCATAACGACTTATGTCTCTATGCTCTTCAAATATACAGTCTTATATCTGGCATGACTCGTATCCACGGATATTTACAACAATTCTCACAAAACGGTCACGTAACAACTTCATACACACCCTTTGTAAATATAACGTTTCTTTATAAATGATTTCTCTTATAGGATCCGTGTATTCTCGTCATATCGACGTTCGCAACAATCGTCACACGAAGGCGGTATAAGATAAACGCATTCTACTTATCCTTCCAATTAAATCAATCTTCCCTCTTCCAGATTCGTAGAAAAGAAATGTTTCTTTTAATATAATAGTTTCTTGTTAAATCCAGGAGTGTGATCATGTAAAGAAAAGAACAGAGAACGCGTATTGTCGGGTCAAGGATGAGTTTAAAAAGAGTTCATTAACCTTCGAATAGCGGAGCCGAGTCTTTAATGACCCAAAGTGTAATTTAGATTTTTACACGTTGAATATTATGAGTCACTGATGACCGGCGCTAAAAATTGTGTAATCGAATAATTGAGAGGAAAAGAAATTGAAGATAATCGTGGGTCTGGATTGACCCAGCCACTATTATTCGAAGATTAACCGAAGTGACTTGAACTTACATGAAAAACCGAGGAAATTGTAAAAGATGTCGATTCATCCTTCGAAAAACGATCATTCGCAAAGCATGACGAACGATTAATTACTATCGACTGCTTATCGGCTACCTACGTCTAGATAATTTCATCTCTTAACGCGCCAATGCCTCGTTAAAGCACCTTTTTACGAATACTTTCTATTCCTCACAGGCTTACGAACCTCTACCGATTCGGTTCACTGAAGTTGTCTGCTTGTCAATTAATTATTCTTCAGACAGTTGCGCTAAATCTGCTTGGACAGATCAATAAAATTTTCAATGACATTCGTTAAATATGAATAATAGTTAAAGCAATCATTCAGGTCCAATATATTGCATCTACTCCAATTAGGTGCAATTGAAGATTAATGCCAATGAGAAATTCATTAATCAATCCAGGCAGACCCAGACGACCCGCTAATTCGTACGATTTTTTTAATCAAGCGCAAAATTGTTGTTAAAGCGTTGCGTATCGTGATCCAAATGCCTAATAGATCGTTACTTTGATATTATCCTCGTGAATCGACGAGGTGACTAAAAACGAACGTAGACGAGAGGATACCTTCTAGAAGCACAATTTTGAAAAATAAATAATTAAAGAAAATGACAAGTGTATACGATCGCACGAATTGCCTTTTCTACGCGCAGATTTCTACATCGGATTCTTGCTCGACGATTTAGTCGAATTTTCACGCGAGATGATCGTGGAGGCACATTAACGCAGCTACTTCGAAAATTTTGTTATCGATCCTCGCTTTCTACCAAATCAACAGACTATACCAGCCTAAATGGTGCGTATAAAAATCTACACGCATCGAGTTGCGAATTGACGAGTCTACCTGCCAACGATGGTTTAAATTGGACGTAATGATTGACAGATCAACATCTATACCGCCTATGCAAGCCGAGAAAAATAAATTACGGGCTATCTCTGTACGCTTTTGCGATGCGATTTTTGTCCTTTGTTCACAGGGATTCATAGTTATTAAAAATCATAATCTGAACTTCCAACTTAATTTTTAATTCCACTACGAAAAAATATCAGATCGTTTCAAAAATTTGTATTATTATTAAATGTACCCCACAATATTTGGTTTTTTTCTTAATTTAAAATAAAGAAGATATGTTGACTGAACAATGTATAAATTTTCAATGACCAGAAATGAAGAATCTACCAAAGAAGAATGATTCACATATTCAAGGTATAAGCATAGCGTGGCTAAGCTCGTACGTTCAGTGGCGGCGACAATACGAGGATTATCTCATATTTAGAAACATCTAAAAATACTACCTTTATTTTATATAAAAAGATCGACTCGAGCAACTTCGAAGCTCCAATCCTCGCCATTTCTCTCTGTTCTCCTTTTAATAATATACAATTAACGACTATGTAGTTATGTACAATTTGTTTCAACCTCACCTGCCCTTTTCGTGTCTACAGCCTGACAGTTTTGTTCTTCCACCTGTGCACGAGTAGGTTTGCGCAAACGTACGGACAAATTAAGCTCTATCGTCGTAACAGGTTCAATAATTTTATACAATCTTACCGGGGGCTATATAACGTATCTGTTCGAAGGAAATTTCGCGTTAGCACGGTTCCTGCGATCGATCCAGCGATTCGTGATCGCACGCGAGATCATCTCCCGCGTTAAACCGGGAACCGAGTTTGAGGGAATGGAAGGCATTTCGTTTCAACGTATCTTTTTCACGAAGCTTCGTGCGCTTTCCGAGCTACTTACAGCAATTTACCGAACGATCGAGCCGCGATAACCAGATTTCCTGCGTGATTGGAGGGAGATTGAAGGCATCGCGTTAGAAATCGTTTTGTCGAGGATTTCCACGCTGTTCCGCAAGCTTTTTCTCTCGTACCGCTCACGAGGAGCCGCGTTCTCGTCGAGCAGAATTCGTAAAAAATGAAGAGGAAAAATATTCTGGTAATTAGTCAACGTTCGTAGACTATAATAACTCGGAGATAAACGTAGCTTAATTGGCTAACGATTAGGAGAGAGGAAGATAAATTGTGAAAATTGTTTAGCAACGTTCGTCAGGATATAACGTTGCCTTAAACTAGACGAACGATATACGTTCTTTCGTTTAGTTCATAACCGACACTTACACGCTAACTTATAACACCGTACGATCCGTGTAACATTAGCTTCGACGATTGGCAACATCAGACTCCACAAACGAGAAACAACGATTTAGGCCCACTTATCTTACATCCAGCTCGCTGATACGAGCACACTAATTCCTTGCACGAGTGTACAGATAATCCATTCGTTTCTATCAATACGTCGATACGGAAACCAAAGAAACGGAAGTGTTACCTTCTTACACTATGACCTCTTCAACTGTCCCATGTCTGTGCCCTTCGGTGAATAGAGACCCAGTTTCAAAGCGAGTTCCTTCGGCTTCCTAGTAGCATTTCTCACAGGAAATGGACTGAACTGGGTTCTCGGGCTGATCACAGTATCGTAATTATCATCCACGTTTTTACTCGAATGTCCTATGTTACCCAGGCTCAGAGAAGATTTCTTGTAATTGTTCGATCCAGTCCTATCGGGCAACTCTCCATATTTCCCAACGCTTATCTTACCCGGAAACTCCGGATGAGAGACGGGACGTTTCGATTCGTCGATCAAACCCGGCGAGAGTTTCGAGGCGTAATGATTGATAGAGGAAGGAAAGTGTTGATCAGCGAACTGTCTATTCGGGGACAAAGGATGATAGTCCCGATGTCTGGTCGTCAAATACGATCCCACCTCTGCTTCTGTATCGATGGAGGGCAACGTGGTCAAGTGTCTATCGTATTCCGTGCCCTTCCCATGGGAATATTCCTTCGGGGACAGTGGATCGTATTTACGACGAAGAATCTCTGAAGATTCACCAGGATAATCTAAGAAGGTAGTCCCGCTGTCCAAACACCTGTCCTCCTTGGTAATGTACTTCGTAGGTGTCAATGGATCGCTGTTACCATTGCTGTAATAAGGAGATGACTTGTTCGAGCTAATTATAGGTCTATCAGTCGAAAGTGACATGTAATCGGTGCTGACTTCTCTGACTGGCTGTTCTTCGTATCTCACTCGAAATTCCAGTGACTCTTTCGTCATCATTGGACTCTTAAGATGCAGGTCGTAAGTGTTGATCGAGATTTCTGATTTATGATTAATATAGTCGTACGTGGGATCCATGATGGGTTTATCGTAAACAGTTGTCGCGAAAGGATTAGTAGATTGCTTGGGAGATAGTTTAGGTTTAAAGTCGAAAGCTTTATAGGGATCATAGGAGGTCTTCAGAGGTGAAGTATCGTATGGGATTGGTTTAGAGGTGTACCTCAACGGTGATACGTCCTTGAAGGGTGACGTGTCAGGTACGTATGGAATAGAGGAAAATTCTTTCTGAGGAAGCTCCAGGGTCGGATCGGGTAACACTTGTGCCGAAGAGATTTTATCGAGTTTCTCTAATTCTCTGTAGATATCTATGTCGCTTTTCGGCGACGAATCGTCGACTCGGTACTTGGATACTTGGTACGGTAACACGTTCTCGGTATACTTGGGAAACTTGTCAACCGGAATGGATGGCTCTTGCGCTGATCCCAAGTCGCTTCTGGTTTCGATGGAATCGTTGGATGATTTATAAGAGAATACGTTCGTGGAGATGCTGGACAATTCGAGGGCGTCGATTTCGCTAACGTTCTGACTGGACGGTCCCTTGTCCAGGGTAACTATGCTGGCTGGAGAATGCTGCTCGTAATTTGCCAACAGTTTCGACAGTTCCTCGTTTATCTTGCGATCTATCAGGGCCTCTCTGGTGTTCAAGTAGTCGTGGGATATCACCTCGTCCACGTCGAAATGATCCATCTGTTCGGTTTCATCGATCAGAGAAAGTTTTGACAGTTCTTCATTAATTTTCGCGTCGAACTCGGACACGCTGGTCGCGGTCATGTTGTCGAAATCCTTGAAATTGATCCTCGCCAACTCCTCGTTGATCTCGTGTTCGTTCAGTCCCATTTTCTCTAATATCGGACTGAAGATCTTCGAAATCTCCTCGTTGATAGGACTTATAGTGATCTCTTTGGAGATTTCTTCAAGGTCCGGCAACCGTTTCTTCGCCTGACAGGCAAGAATCTTCTGAAGTATAGCTGAGTTCTCTTGAATGATCTTCAAGGCTCGATCGCTGTTCCTTCTTCCATTGTCGCTCTTCTTCCGAGGTTTCACCTTGGTCCACACCCCTAACTTCAACTCCCTACCGTCGTCAGAGTCACAATTGTCTTGACTACACGCCACAGTCTTCAATATACTGTCACTGTTTTCATCGATATTGATTTTAGGGTGAATGACGTACGACTTCCTCCCCTCTCCAGTTACGTTAATATCAGGTATCTCTAGACGTTGTTTAGAGAAGCTACTCGCTGAATTGCTGAAGGTATCCTGTCTCCTAGCTTCTAAGCTCTTCAGGTCCTCCCAGATATAACTACTCTTCTTCGTCAGCATTGCGCTGTCCGATGATCCTTCATTTGCTTTCGCTTCCAAGTGTTTGATGTCCTCCAGAATGTCGCTGGATCTCTTCTTAACCATCGAAGTGGTAAATTCATCAGAGGACGCAGATGATTTCATGTCAGCGTACCTTCTGCTATCCAGACTGCTGGAACTCCTCTCCAACAACTTCGATCTATCTCTGTAACGATAGTTCAAGTAACGTTTGTCAAGTTTCTCTTGAGGTAAAGATGGTACCACATCCTTCTCGGACAGAGGATCGTCTCCTCCGTCGTCAAGGAAGTCCTTATCTTTACGAAAATAATCACTACTGCTTGATTGATAGAAATTAATATCCTCAGCACCGTTCCTTCTATCGATCAAGTTCGTGGTGGGATCTTTCTTCAAGTTAAACTCTGATCTAACGAAACTGTCGCCTTTTCGAGAAGCGATATCGGTATCTTTGATATCAGCTGACTTCAAGGACTCATACTTGGGCTGATAACTCAGAAACTTGTTCGATTCTTTTGAACTACTCGATTTCTGTTCGGGCGAGGTTTCTGTGCTGTCCAAGCTGGATCTTCGTCTCGATCCGCTGTACGGAGACGTCGGTGTCTTCTGGTTAGGATTCGAGATCGGGTAGAAGGGCGATGTGGCGCTGCTGAGTTCCATCGACGAGCCCGACACGTCGTCCTGGCCCCGTCTATTGAAATTCGAGGTATATTTTATGGAGTTGGCACTTATTGGCGATTGAAGGTCCGAACTGAACGACCTCTCGGAAGACTTTATTTTACCGGGGCTGCACGAATCGCTGGAACTGCTTACCACCAACTTTGGACTGCTCTCCGACTTATTCCTCAACGAGTCGGTGCTGATGGGAGTCGTCGAACCCGACATCTCGTAACCTTTCTTCGTGTCCGTCTTCGAGCCGTCTCTCGTAACATCCGAGTCAATGGAACGAAGTACCAATGTCTTCGAATCGGAACTAACCGACGAACACATCGATTTGTCCATCGAGAAATCCCGAGAGTCTGACCTAACCGGGGACCTTGGGCTCACCGTTAAACTGGAAGGTTTCGAGTCTGGTCCCATGGTTTCGCCTGAACTGTACGATTTATTACTTTCAGGCGTCTTAGGACTCTTCAGCAAGTCTGAATAAACTTTCGTCTGCAGTCTGTCAAAAGACTTCTCCATTGTTATCGCTGAATTTGTTGGAGCTTCAGCAGTCAAGACGGTGACTCCACTCGTTCCATGTATAGTCGGTGATATTTTGCTTAATTTCTGATCCACCGTTCCTGGAGCAATTGGAAGGTGACCCACGTACGTCTTACAATAAAGTGGTCTTTCGATGCTCACGATGTTCGATGAGTCACCGATTAAACTGCCCATCTTTGAACCTTCGTACGGTTTTATGTCTAAAGGAACTCTGCTAGAAAAATCGAAAGATGTTTTGAAACGATCCTCATCTTCCGTCTGTAAATCATTGCTGGGTTTGTCGATGATTTTATCGTATTTCGTATCTAACGATGTCGCGTAACTGGAGAACGCACTTGAACTGTCTTGACGAACGAGTGTAGGTGATTTCTCTTCGATCGGGTCCTTCTTGATCGTGGAGAGTTCATCTCGAGGAAGATCCACGATTTCTTTCGTGGACTCTCTAGGTCGAGGTCTCTCGTGAACCAACACTTCATCCTCTTTCGTGGTAATTGTGCTGCTACCGATATTTAAGTAATCATACTCATCCAAAGCCAACGATTTTCTAACAGTACTGCTATCCGAATTATAGTCCACCGACAGATTGGGTATCGATTTTTCCGTTTCCACTGCTTTTGTCGATGAATCGTCCGGCGACACTTTGCTCTGCGCGCTGAATTTTTGAGGAACCATTGAATTATTGTCATCCTCCGCCGACAATCGTCTGATCTGATCGGTGATTTTGGCGATCGACATGTCGCTTAAATTATTCTCTTCCGAAGTATCAAAGTCCTTTGAACCTTCGACCGACTTACTTTTTTCTTCGGTATCCAACGATACCGTTTCGCGAATCGGTGAACCATCCACTCGACTACTTTTATCTTCGTCTGTTGCTATAACGTACGATTCGGAAGCTGACGTTAGATCTTCACTGTCGACGTCACTGAGACGGTCCGGCTCGTCGCATAATTCTGTGGACGTGCTGTCGCTATCACTGTCAGCAGTGCTTCGTTTCGGAGATGCCAGTTCAATTTCCGCGGTTTGAAAGGTTGCAGCGTGACTTTCTGCTACATCTAGGACAATTTGGATATAAATTAATTTAAAGATTTAGAAGAGCTAGAATTGTTCTCGATAGATGGTAAAATTGTAATCAGGTTTGAATCTTAGATACAGCGATCTTTTATTACTGATGTAGGTAAAACAGTTCTATACCAACTGCTGGTAGGTTTCAACCAACAGAAGGCACGTTCCATTGCAAATTTCTATATTACCATCTCACGATGCTCGAGTACCATCGATCAATATGTAAAACGCCTGTTGGAATAGTAAAATATTTTTCATTTTTATAGTTAATTTTAGAACCAACGTTTTCATCAGATTAGAATTTCAATTTTAATTAAACTATAATTGACTATTGATAATGTTGACTGCACTCAGAATGTAGTTACCCATTTTTCGTTTAAGACTTAGATTGTGCCCTGTAAACATATTTTGTACCTGAGGAATTTGAAGCCCTCTGTTTTGGCTTCTTCGTGTCTTTCCAATGAAGAGTGACGCCTTGTCTGTCCCTTCGATTCTGACTTAGAGTCGTAGGTTTCGTCTTGGTCGATGCAGTACCAGAAGGTAGACTCAAGGGTCGATTCTTCCCACTCACGAGCGCACTTTTGCCCACTAAAAGATGATTCATGGCCTGAGAAGTAGGAGGTGGTACCATGGTCTGCCTTGCACATGCAGCTGCGTCAAGAAAAAACGTATGCATTCTTCTTCCCGTTGAATTTGCAACGAGCGTACATCGTTGCAATAACTCTTATTCTACATCTCTGAACACTTAAAGCGGGCGACAAGCTTAAATGTTTGCATAATACGGCCAATAAACGTTTCCTTTAAACTGCAAGCTTTGAAGCCGTCGAGTGGGTAGGGGAGGGTCGTTTGTTATCTTAAATCTTAACGTGTACAACTAAATTAACGATTATAATCAGCAATTACCGGAAAGTATAATGTGCGCCTGTCGTTGGCGTTCTCGCAACTTGGCATACTGCTGTTTCAAAGTGCTAATATCCAAAGCGAGACGTTCTCGATCGCTGCTGGGTGCCAATGCCTGCAGTGCTCCAATCGTTTGCGGTATACGATCCACTAAAGGATTTCACCATGTCAAAAGGTACAACCAATTTCTTATAAATAAAATTATCACCACGTTAATACGTACAACATCGTTTCAAACCCTTTACCTTTCTTCAATCGTTGCGCCATGCTAAACATCGCAGCAGCGACAGCCAACCTTTCGTCCTCTTCGGTGTCGCTATCTTCATCATCGCTAAGCTTCCTCGCCCATGGGGTGATATTGTACCTATGTTTCTCTCTAAGTCCCGTTACACCGTGCAAAGGTCCCATACTAACAATATTCTGCACGAACAACGAACAAACCGCTTTTTAAAATATACAACCGCAAGGTGGTCGCTTTACGGGGACACGAATGTCTGATGAATTTTCATGAATAGTTTGAACGAACCTTTATGAGATTATTCGTGTCCGTGAACTCGAGCATCTCCCTCGTGAGAACTCCCATTATACTATAAAATTCATCGGCTGATGTCACGGTCATGATACGACTGTGAAAAGAAGATGATCTTACATGGTGATTCACTTAATAGAATCAAGGTATGAATGTTTAAACAGCTACTTACTCCGAAAGTCCTTCCCAGATAGTCAGCGCTGTTCTCAGTAATATTTCGTCACCCTCGAGGAATATCAGATCCCAGACTCGGAGTACCGCTTCCTGGGGCAAGCAATGACAGAAGAGAGTAAGGAACCATTGCATCGTGAACACATTCGTCAGAGGTGGCTCATAGCTGCTCCCTGGAAAATCATTTTTCCAAATGAAATAACTGTCCAGTAAATTAAATAATTTATTATATAGGTCAGCAGTGACCCTCGCGGCATTCGACGCGTTAAACGAGTCGAGGAGATAAAATTACACGGAGATAAGTAAGGTGATCGTTACCTGTCGCCTTGTCCTTCGCGTCGTTCTGCAGTGCCTCCAGGTGTTTCGAGAGCCTGGGCAGCCTCGCCCTGAGGAGATCTCGAAACACCGCCATGTCCACGGACAGGCCTCGCAGATTGTCCGCGAAATAACCCTCTGGCAGCACACCCTCTATCAAGTAGATCATCACCTTCACAGCGGCGGACTCGGCCCGATCCATAACTTGCAGAACCAGAGCGGCCAACACGTTCAGGCCTTGGCAATAGCCGACGGACTTGTTCCATCGCGCGAAACCGAGCAAAACTCGACGAAGCACCGCCTGATTGTCTCTGCCAGCCGCGCCGCAAAATAAACTGCAGCCGGTCCTGTGTAAGTCCTGAAACGACACCGTCCCGTGCCCTATACGATCCCTTTCCTTGAATTACGATTTCGATAAGCAAAGAACGAAACCATGGGGCTGCACCATGGATCCTCCGTACGAGCCGAGATGCCGCGTCGTTCGTTCGTTGATCGCGCGAAAGGAATAATTGAAAGGCTCATCGGCGATGCTTAATTGGCCGGCGTCGAAGTGATTAATGATCGAAATTTAATTGGCCCTGATTATACGGCCAACGAAGACCGTTAAGGACCTGATCACGTCAGCTCGGATGGATTTTTCTGCGATGTCGTTACGTAAGATGTACGTTAAATCATGTACCTTTTTTTTTTATGGGACCAAGATCGTTCGAAGGACTATCTCGAAGATACGGAGAAGGTGAGAGCTAGTGAAAGCTTTTATTTATATACTACGGGTTATGAGAAGTTTTTTCAGTGAAACGTTCATTGGAAGGAATGAAAGAATGTAAAAAGTGGATGAATGGATCGGCAAGTTATATCGGTCGACGTTTCATTAGAAGATTCAACAGAAAAGTTTTCATTACCTGGTACTTGAATAGGGTCATCCCTAATGCTTTTAATCGATAAAACACACGTACAAAAAGATGGATGGAAAAGGAGCTTGATAAATTTGAAATTCAAATTTTATCAAGCACCATTTAAGAAATTTCTTTGCTATCGTCCGTTACGAGGGAGAAAAATTGAGAATGACAGAGTGTAACGAAAAGTACGGACGGTACGTGGAACAACTAACGTTAAAAAGTGTGCACGTTTTTCAGACTTACTTTAACGATTTGTATACCGAGCTCTTCATCGTCAGGATTGCTCCACTCGTTGAAGCAGATCTTTTCAGCCTGCTTCCAATCTACGCCACGCTGTTCCAGATGACGTTCTGCCAGCGTCAGCCATAACTGTGAAATATTTAGAGAAAAGAGAGAGAGAAAAATGAGGATGCTCTCGTCTCTTAAAATAACAAGCCACCAGCTGGAAGAATCTTGTCTGATACTCGCCTTCCTTCGAAATTCCGGCGGAATTCCTCCCTGCAACCTGGCGACCATCTTCATCGCGTCCAGCCATTGTATGAAACCGCTTTCTCCCGGTTGCGGGGTCAGACTAAATCTCATCTTCGTGTCTTCGACTGTAAATTGGGTAAAAGTAATATTGGAAAATAAAGACGTTCAAAGATAATACAATGTAAAGAAGTTAAAGTCATTGAACAACACAATCATGAAACTATCGCAGACGGTAAGGAAAACAGTCGTTAGTTAAGTGACTGGAGTAGCTTCTATCGGATTCAACAAACAGAAACGTTAATGTCCTTAATTCGATCGGGAACGTCGGTTCCCGTTTCATTTGATTTATAAAGTTTCACAATCAAACATTTGGCTCGATGGTACGCGACAGTAGGAACAAAGATGGCTCGGTTATACGGAATCAAACGCTTAAATGATCATAGAACGCGAAGCTCATTAACGGGTTTATCGTTTAGACGGTTTGAACGCTTTTAATATAATTATTTGATTAGCTACCATGAATTCCGAAAGCGTCTGCGTGATAAATTCTACAAACGTTCGACCGAATTGTGAAATATTCAAAGTACCTCTCGATTGACATTAGTGATATTTGAATTAAGTTTGAATTGCTGGGAAGCGTTTCTAAAACGCTGGAAAATTAAATTTGTAATTGGTGTTAAATGTTAATTGTAGAAGGTACAAAATTAAAAGCGTAAATTTGAAAATTAACTATTGATATCCTTCATAATTTTGGAATTCTTAACACTAGATTGCCAGAGCGAGTTAATTTGACTCATTTACGATTTTATTGCTATATATATAGAAAAACTTAAATAATTTTTTTTAAAACATATGTTGGTTTTTAATAGAATTATGAAATGTATACATATACAAATACTAATTCCTTCCCCTCCCCACTCCTTAGTTCCAAACATCCATATATACTATACCTATTTTGACGGATCTATTTGCCCGGCAATCTAGTGTTAATAATCTGTGCAATTTGTAGCCTAAAATTAGGCGAGAATTTTCAAAATAAAGACTTTTATATATTGCGAAAATAGTATCTAAAATAATAATACTTTTAAACTCTGATTAGGTAGGGTGAATAAAGCTTTGGCTCTGCCATCCAAGGGTTGAGCTATCACTATGTCTTACTACACACTTCCGTTTCTACTGCGGCAGCCTAGGTATCAATAATCCATAAAAACATTGCATTCAGTATTCAATTTGTGCAATGTAAATGGCTAAGAAAATTGAAAGCAGATGCAAAGTACAGTACGGTCTTCAAATTTTTAGAATTTTCCTGCTGACAGTTTGAAACTTAACAGAAAAGTCATGAGTCATTAAAACTTCTGCAGAAGTTGATCTGCTTGCAGCTGCACAGGATTCTTCGGAAACAAACCGAATACAAATTTAATATATTCAAGCACGAGTTTGTTATTTAAGCCGCACTTACCATTCCTCCATTAATGAACATCGTTCGTTTCGTTTGAAAACTTTAAACACTAATTTCGCGATGCAATTTGTAACTCGAGTGAAATGACGGAAATGTAGAATCCAAGAATATTTGAAATGACGCAAACGAGAATCGGTTTCCATTATTCCTTTGTTATTCGAGGATAGCTAAGAGTATCCTGCAACTTGAATCTCGTCTACGCGTAACCGAATCTCTTTTGAACCATCACAATTTCACTCGAACAAGATCAACTTGGTGGGAGTTTTATTCGGTTTGAAGTAAAATCAAAGAGGATAAAAACGATCTACTTTTCCAGAAACTTGATCACCGTTTCAATCGATTGTTAATCGTTCATAGAATTCCCAGTAGCATAGAAATCAGTTTGAAGATTTTATTTAAATATTTATGACAACTTAGAACGAATATGCAAATTAGCACAGCGTGGAAATGAAGTAAATTCATTTAATTAACCCTCGGACGGTGGTGACCGGGTCAATCGCGACCCCGACCTTCGTGTGCAACGGTATATCGACTAAAAATAGGTACTCAAGTTTCCAAATGAAAGATTTTCATATATTGCAGAAATAATATTTTAAGAAACAGTGTAACGTCAACAAAGATGTAGTTCCACCCCCTGAGGGTTAAATACCGAAGAACATTTCCTACATCCTTCTTTTCTTCTTTGAAGAATAAATTTGCAAATGTAAGAAACAATACAGAACGAAGCACAGCAAGATCGTATACAAAGTGGATATTGATCTTGCATCGAATACAAAGAATTTTCCTTTTAAAAGAAAAATTTGCATTCTATTTTCATTCCCTGCTAAAGCAAACATTGATCGTAAAAATAAAGCGTTGAACGAAAGCAGCTTTCGTGCGTAAAATCGTAAATGAAACATTGTTTCGTGCAAACGAGACGAAATTAAACGATCAACCACATCGACGTTAGATCAGGACGAGTCCTGCATGCAGCGAACTCGCAAGACAAGTGTTCACCTTCCAGTTCTTCGTACTTCGAGGCAGAGCCGGCAGCTCCTGACGCGAAGTTTTTCAGGGAGTTGAAAAATCCGCTCATTCTCCAATTAGGAACGCCACTCTTTCTTCTTCATCGTCACTTTCACCTCTCCCGTCTCTTGTTGCACTGCGTACAACCGCCTTTCAGCCGTTTTCGTGATTCATCTTCCGTCGCTCGCGAGTTCATTTTCTCGAGATCTTGCACGCCACTTGCGTTCTGCGAACCATCATTCCTGCGAGATGCATTTCTATCGTGTGTCTGAAATTCCGATCGTTCTGTTTATTCCTCGAACCGATGGTAAACGTCTTCTAGAAGCAACCCCTCGAGATAGGAACGACCGAAGGAATAGAAGAGAAACGCGATTTTCCAAAGAAAAGTTAAAGAAAATATTTGATTCCCGTTTGTTTGTTGAAGGAATTTTCAAGCAAGTGGTTAGAAGTGCTGTAAAATTTTTCGTCGTAAAACGACGCTCTTTGTTTATTTAAGTGCTCGTGCACAGTACCCTTGATTTCACTGGAAGCGATACTGAACAGCTGTTCCGCATTGAAGGCAACAACGGTAGTATTAAATTCTTCAAAACGCAACCGTATGACCAACCTCCGAGCTACTAATTCGCGACGGTATCAGATGCACGATTACGATATTAAAAACGAGAGATCGTTTCAAGTTCTCGGCGACAAAACGGAACAATTTCCGCTGCAAGACTTTCAGAACACGTTCGTGTGAGATGTACCACCTGTTACAAGCACGTAACACGAATATATCGACGTTACAATATACGTGGGTCTATTTGGTGAAAAGATTCATAGATAAGTTGTCAATGAATAGATGAATAAATATGGACAGACAGGGTACCATATCTATCAAAATTTTTACATTTTAGATTCAATAAAATAGCTTCTAACTAAATCATTCAACAATTTACTTTCTTAAATGAAGATAAACCGAAGAAAAAAATAGACTGTTTAATAAACAATTTTTTTCTAAACAGCAGAGTTAAAGTGCAAAAGTCAAATAGATAGCGAAACACCTCTGTAGGTGGAACGAAAAGAAAAAGAAAGGAACAATTGAAGTGGTTGCATATGGTTGCTACCCTCTCCACGATCTCGAGCACAAACACACAGAGAGTAACGCACACGCTTGAATCGCAACGCTGAGCGAGGAATTAACGCCAGCCGAACCCGTATCGAGCGTTTTGATTTATCTAATCCCATTCTGGCAAAGGCGTTCACATCGATTTCCCGAGTCTTTCCAGGCCTACTTATTCCTTCCATACTACCAGCACAAAAGAACATCTCCCGTGGAACGTTCCAAGCGCACCAGTACAATTTACGACACCTCGGATACCCTTCTTTCTCTTTCAACCACCCTGGTAGTTCCCTTAAATTCAACAGACGTCTAGTACACTCGAAAGGACGCAAGGGAAAACGATGTCCGTATAGCTGGACGTAATTCCATCGATCAGGGATATTATGAAAACACATTCCCAGGAGACAACCCCGGGGACGTCTTACCATTGTCAGTGCGCGAATCGACGTCGTGAAAGGGAAGTGGACGACGCCGTGTCCCCATGAAAACCGCAGTTCGGGCTACGCATCTGTCCTCGTGTCATCGAGCACACTCGGTTCTCGAACACTCACCAGAAGGTGGACACTGACGCGTACTCGTTCACACGCTCGTCCAGCTCCATGTACACGTTCGAGCAGAAAAGAACGGTCACGAGAACGCGATCGAACTCGCACGAGGAGATTTAGTCAGGGATAGAAACGCGACTCGACTCGGTCCGTTTCGTTTCTACTTTCGTCTCGTTTTCACGGCTGACAGAGGGTTGGCACGACCCTTTCCCCGAAAGATGTACGTCGAGTCAGCTGAACGACCACTACGCCGGCGGAAGTGGAGCTCCGTTGCGCGCTTGCGTCCACCGTGACAATAACGATGCTGGCGAAGGTGTACGGGAGGGGTAGTTGTCCCGTGGAACCCTGCAGTAGGCACTGAAACTGCTCCACGAACCATCCGCTCCGAGAACCTTAGCGATCAAACGTTCCCCTAACGGCGCAGACGCGAAAGCAAGCCCACACCACCCTGCTGAGAGGAATTTGTACCCGTGGGGGTGCTCGCGTGCACCTTCCTTCGCGGCCAACACCGTCGCTCACTCCTTAGGGGTAGCTTCAATCTGCTTGTTACCTTCTATCTTTCCTTTTCTTTTATTTCCTCGTCGTGTCTTCGACGACGCCGTGTTCTCGTCTCTTCCTGCTGTAATTTGTACAGGACTGCAGATTACGAGGGGTTCCCTTTTTCTTTCTTTGCCCTTTAACGAGCAACCGAGCGAAATTGATGATTACTTCCGTTATTTCTTTGCTCTCTTTATGAACAACTTCTTCGGTGGTTGAATGATTGCTTCGTCGGAATGTTTAATTAAATTATTCCGGTTTCTCGTTAATATTTTTCTTAACGATTCGGTGAAATTCCTGTTTCTTTTAGATTCTTGTTCTCGGCTAGGTAAACGTGTTGCCCGTTGCATTCGTGACGATGCAAGAGATTTTATCGAGCCGCCGTCGCGGTGCGGTAGTCGATTTTAATCCGCGTGCACAATAAAGCTGTGTACTATGGATCGATGAACTTATCGACTCCGGTCCCTTTATGGGTCAGTCGGAAATGTCGTCAGAGTCGGTAGCAACACGCTGAAAGCTAAGGCCATCAGATATGTACGTGGATCTAGCGTGTATCGCTCCGCTATTCGCGCTCATCGTCGAATGAATCTTTCGTGACAGGAAATGAAAAATAATTGCCGAAAGCTTCGTTCGAGCTTTTTTAATCATTCAGTACCTGTTGTGTTCTTCCGCAGCTATAAAGTAGCATTTGCACTGCAGTTTACGAAGTTTCCAGAGGATAATTCTTGGTATCCATAAATGGCATAAATTAATAGAAGCTCTATAAAACTTGTGTTCTTATTATAATACAAGTATGAAAAAACCGTGTATGTTTCGTTTGGCCGTCATTTAAAACCACGATAACCATACGACGTTATCAATTCTCGTGGTTAGGTGCCGGAAACAGTTAACAGATCAACGATACGAAGTTGATTCGCTGAACGAAAAAATATAAAATTCCACTTATTCTTTCTGGTTTCGACTGTAAGAATTAAAGACGAATCAGCAGGTACTGCTCGCAGGTAAAATTACCTCTGTCGATGTCAACAGATCTAAATTGCGTGTGCGAGTTCGATTGAGACACGCGATCCCTTTTGCACGAGAGATCGACCCATTTCGACCGCTTTCGATGCAACGTTGTGTAACCGATTGTTCTCATTTCCCATGTCCAACTGACGATGGTTGTGTTTGAATTTCAATGGGTGATGGTCAACGTCGATACTCACCGTTTGAGGGAAAAAAATGATTAGAACGTGAATTCTCTTAATATTTGGACTTTTCCAAAATTAGTAGAGTAATTAGAATTAAAAGCCTTCAACCTCTTTGAAATTCTATTTCTTTTCTGTAAAGCAGAATCAACAACGCACGGTAAGTTTTCGAATAATTTAAAAGTCCGTCATCCTGTTGCATCCAATCAAACAACACAAATAATTGATACGATGCAGCACAACAAAGCACTGATTCCCATGCGATTGCACGTTCCTGCATGTTTTATATGCAAGAATTAGGTTTAACAATCGATACGATCGTCATCGCATAATTCTCGTGGGATTTATTCCGACAAATAATCAAGTTTCTATCATAGCCGCAAGGGCACCGGGGTAACGACTCGGAAACGATTATTTAATATTTTTCACGGTTGCTTGAACCACCGAAGAAGCCTGCGCGAAAGAAGAAAGTTTAGAAGCGGCGTTTGAAAAATTGCACGGGGTCAATAAGTTCCTCGAGTCAAGAATGACAAATGACCAGGGAATAGTTGCTCTTGAAAATAGAATAAAAAGTAGTGTAACCGATGATAGATAGCGGCGAGTCAAACTCTTAATTCGTTCCACTCGTCTATTACACCGTTACAAACCCGTTCATTTTTCTTCAATTTATTTTCATTTAAAATAAATTTTTCAAATTACCCTCGTTCTTTGATCGAGCAAAGCGTGTTTTAAACTCGAACAAGCGTATCAGCTTCGAAGTAGAGAGGATCGCGGGATGCGTCGAGTTCATCGCACTAAATGCAGATCCAAAGTTGAAGAAGACCAAGGAAAGTTCCGCATTTCCGGCTCGCAGGCGCAACATCATTAAAACTTTATCAATGACGCTGGGCGCCGGTGGTTTGGTCGCGCGTTCGCACGACGGGCATGCGTGTTGGACGCGATACGCGCGGCAAAGTCTAATTATTGATCACCGACCGCATCGTGCCCACGTGAAAACCAACCTCTTTGTTTCCCGGATGAGTCGGCCGGGCCTGATGTGTTTGACATTCGCAGATACCGCGTTAAAAAGCATCGATAACGCATTTTCCTAAGTGCTACCTTTTAAGTGAGGACTTTCAACTAAAAGTGTGCTGATCCACTGAAAACGGCGGGTACCGAGAAAAAATTCACGAGAGGGTAGAATGGAAATACCTCTGAGGGGTTGCACGAGGGTGTTTCGAGATAATTATGGTCTAGCCAGCAGAAAAGGATTTTGAATTTCAGGCATGCGCGATGGAAAGACAAGCAGACGTAAACGCGCCGAAGAACGCTTTTAGAGAAGATGAACTGTGTAGGTGTCCAAGATTTAACTGAAATTATCAATTTAATTGAGTTACAATTTGAAAAAGATTATTATAAAAATTTGTAAATGCTGATTGCATTCTTATCCTTCGGTTAATTTCACAATAATAAAGCCGAAGCAAAATGTAATAATCGTTTTACAATAACCAATAACGCAACTAATACCGATACAAAATTATGGAAATTGTTTAAACAGCTTACCTTTTACGTGTAGCCTCGTTCGTTATGTTATTAAAATTGTACTTAATTTGTGTATCTGTATTAGCATCCGGTACTCGAGTCAGTTTTACTGTCCATTAGAATTGCTGTTCCAACTGTTCCATATTTATGAACGTGAAAAAGCGATAAGATAAATAACAAGTTGCCAGCGTGGTTATAAAGTAGCCACGCAAATCGCGTGGCTGTTTTTGACGTCGAACGAAACGAAGATCGCTTTTGTCGTACGACAGTTTTATTGTTCGAAAGGAAACCCGGAGCTTCGAGCGGCGTGTCTTCGTATTATACGAAAGCCTATTGTTTACTCCCAGACATTATCTCCGTGGTTAAACAGACGTTGCTGTTTGTTAAACGTTACTTCATCTCGGTTCGACTGATTTTTATGACTTGGATGGAATACGTCAGGGGAGAAATATGCGGCGATTTAATTCAATTGAAATTAAACGATAACATCGAGTTACAATACATACATCAGAAGGAATTACGAAATATACTCACTACGTTTTCGGCTGAGAGCTTGGAGATGAGCCGTAATTATGGCGCACTGTTTTTCACGTTTGATAATGAGATAATCCTTTCGTCGCAGCTGTCGAATAAGCATTCCACCGGTATGGTTGATATGGTCCCGTAAATTCAATACCAATACTTGAAGTTCGTGGTTGCCTGGAAAATGAAACTCGTATTAATTAATCTACGAAAATGAATATTTGAAAACGGCTACGGTTGGAAGTAAATTAGAAGTGGTAGTTGGACTGAAGGGTGAGATACTTTGAGAAAATATCCGAATTCCCGTTGCAATCTTGATAACGGCCCGAAAGAACTCATCTCCGCGCTTACGTTGACCCCGGAAGATTAAAGTTCCTCAACCCTTTCGCTTTGCGCCCTCTGCGTTCTTCGATCCTGCTAAACGAAACCCACCCTTCCTACTATTTTCTTTCATCATTCCGAACACGAGTTCTGATGTTCTCGCGATCATGGTCTCCGCAGTAAATCTTTGGTAACTAAGTTAAATTACGTTCGCTTCGACGTTAAAATTCAAATGACCTAACTTCGCGAAAGGCTTGATCACCCGCAATCTAACGGATCGAATAGATTTCAATCGACCGAGCATTTATCTTAGCATCTTTTCCAAACGTTTATCCTGCTTCGCCAGTCTGACGCGTGCTTATGGGTTTTGGTTTTTAAAATTCACGCAATCTCACCCCCTGGTTTACGCTATGCATGTTCAACGAGATGGAACGAAGGAGCGTCGTGTATAGAGATAAAAGAAGCGTTTCCCTCCTTGAAAGAAAAAACAAGGAAAAAGGTAGCACTCCGAGTCAAAGAACCTTCTTGCCTCGAAGTCAACGAGGTCGCTTGTCTGTCTCGGCTCCGCGACCTCTTGTCTCGTCAGCTTCTATCAGGGCGTCTTTGCTTAATTCGAATTCAGGCGATAAGTTAAATTTCAGCACCGTTACCCTTTGTCCTTAGTATTTGCAAAAAGAACAAGTGATCTTAAAAAAAATCAATCGCATTACAAACCTCGATGAAACAACAATGAAATAATCATCATTGTTGTTCCTCTATTGTTTTGAGAAATAAAATCTCTGTATGAAAGGAATAAAATTTACTTCGAAGTCGACTCGGCTTACTTTTACGAGACCAGACAATAAGTCTAGTCATTTTCGTTCTCCGATTCTGTCCGTTAAATAAGCATTTTCTCCGTTTCCACGAGATTCACAATAAACGTCCTCCGGCTAAACGTGTTTATCAGACGCCCACGCTCGTCTCCTCCCTTTTTTCCTCTCGTGATACACACGTAACACGTTTTCATCTCATATTGAATTACTCTTACTTTTCCACAGCAGACGCGCCTTTTGCAGATGCTGGTGTTGCGGATGTATCCTCAGGGATGAAGCTGTCGAGTCGCTTTCCGATCGTCTTCTATCACCGTCTGGCAATCCGTAGATATCCAGCAACAGCTGATCCACTAACAACGAGACGGTTCGTTCCTTTTTTACAGGTAGATTCGGCAATGGCGTTGGATACGTCTGAAAATGACATTTCTCATTCGAACTGTTCTCTAAAGTCTGTTAATACCTAAAATACTGTGGAAATATATGTACTTCTATATTAACCTATCTTTTGTGTCAATAAATACCTTTGGTTCCCTGATCACAGTCTCGCTTTTCACATCGTTCTTACAATCAGTTTCATTCAAATTCCTCGCGTCGTTCATCGACTTGGACCTTTTCAAGCATTTCTTCTCCACCTTGACCGGAATCGCGCTAGCCCTTCTCGTCGGTCTCTTCCGGTTCAGCTCCAACAAATCCGGGCCTTGCCAGCTCCTCTGGAACAAGTTGCATTTCCTTCTCTCGTACAACGAAGGGAACTGATATCCTTCGGCGCAGTACAAAAGATTCCTCGTCTGTTGCGTGACGTACACGTCGCCGAACACGCGCTCGTTTTCCACGGCCACGCATTTCACCCGGTAACTGATTTCCGCGTATTTCTTCAACGGTTTCACGGTGCAGCTCATGGTTCGTGGCTACTTGGCGAGCTTAACGAAACTCTTTCGTGGAAACGTGAACGAGTCCATCGAAGAGATCGTGCACGGGACCCACCGTCTCTTCTTATCCGTACGGTTCGCGATTCGCCAAATGTTCGCTCATTATTTCACTACGTTTTATGCGACACATTTACGCTCGTGTACGCGAACGAAATGTTTCACGAGCAAATGGAATTTGCTGTCAAAATGACGGGTAGGTTGACCTGTCACGTTGTTGGTTATTACTTCTGGTCGAATCGCGGATCTTCGTCGTCGCGGTGGGTGCAACTTCAGCGCGGAAACTCGTTAGCAGGAAGCACGCGAGACTGCTTACACGTTCCGAATGCAAATTCACCGGCGACAAGAAATTTTCTCCAATTTAAACCTCCTCGCAATCTAAGAAACCTTCGGAACGAATCATCACGGTCCAGTGAACTCGCAGCTGCGTTCCTGAAAGAAGGATACAAAATGGTAAATGAAAGTTTAGCATAATTAAAAGATTCTTTTCCCTATTTGTTTCTCGTTTAACAGATAAATTATAGGACAATGCTTGGTCGCCGTTTGCGCGCTGATACGGATAAACCACGACCTCCCGCACAATTGTAATTATCTAACATTTATCAGAATTGATAGGAACGCACTCGTAATTGCATCTGTGCTTCAAGGTTTCAGGAAGAACGGAAACCTTGCACGATTGTTGTAATTCAAAATAATTATTTCAAGAGACGTTGTAGCCTGTGGCAATATTTGCTAGCAAGACGGCGGCAATACGCTTATCACGATTGAAAGTAACAAAGAGAAACATCAACGGTGATACTATGTTAGTATATTTACTAGGATTAATACCGGAAATTTACGATACGATTAAATGTCACAGGTTTCACACTTCCGTTGGGCAAACTTTAAAATGTCGCCGGTTGTATTTATAGAATCCAATTACAGCTGTCAAGTGTGTAGATTTAAAAGAAAATTCATTTCACCGTTCACACGTTCTGACAACACATATGTTAATTGGTATACGTTCACTTTGATGTTTAAATTAGATGAAATTATATTTTCAAAAATTGTGTCGTTCCTCGCGCCCTTTCATTTATGAATTCTGAACGACAATTGTATTCCAGTCATTTTAGTAACTTTGAATATTTTCCTCGGTGTTTCATTGCATTCTCTACGCGTCGTAACCCTTATCACGAGGCGAGCAATTCGCTTCTGGTGGCCAGACCGCAACTGGAAGTGCCGGCGATGATAATCGTTTCATTAAGTCCGTACCCTACACTTACGTAGCCAGCCAGCAAGTTGACAGAGGTGGTGAGCGCGACAAACGACACAGCTGTCGTTATTTATGATCGCCGCGTGTCCAATGCGAAGATGCGACGAATTCTCCGAGCGTTGAATAAAAGTTGCCGAGGAAATTTTACGGTCACACAAAAATAAATTTAAAAAACAACTAACAAAAGTGATACAACGCAATACGTTTCGAGTACTCTCAGAAAAATGTTACGACTGTAAAAAAAAAAATAAATATTAATGAGTCAAATTACAGAATGGATGATGAATACAGTACAGAAACATTAAGCGATAACGATTTTAGTGCAAAAATGTAAATAAGCAACTTAATAGTTTTTTTCTTTTTTTTTTCTTTTTTTTAAATAAATTGTTGGCAAATTGTATGACTTACCAGTCACGTTGCATTCCAACACTTTGGTCACAATTTTCCGATAGGAAGTACGACTTTAAGGCGGTCAATGAAACCGCCGCTGTTATCGGCGTCGCTGATACTGCGCCCGGCGTTACGTAGTGCACACTCAGCTAGAATTTTAAATGCTCTCTGAGTGTGCACTAGTCGTTCACCTGGTAGGTTCAATAACCCTTTCTTAACAAAAAATCGAACGTCGGAGAATAATAAAGAAGCCAGAGATAAATTAAGACAACGTGCTTCGGCATAATTTCAAAGATGAGAAATTATAATTTAATCAAAGCAGAAGAACCGCTATGTTAACCAATTATCTCAAAAGGAAACGATGAATGTTTTATTCGTTTCAACAGAAAAGAATTGAAATTCCTTCGTTTGATAAAAATTGTACTAGACTGTGAATTGAAGATGGTTTGATCGATTCGTTGGTCGCGTAGAAGATACTGTCGCTATAGGAACCAAACATTTATGACGGTGGTTGAGAAAACGGAAATTGCAGAGTGATTCCACGGGGATCTACCAAGATATTATGCTTTACGGTTCCATCGTTACGACGCAATCACGACTCGATTGAGCTGATCGTAATTCGATAATGATCGAAAAACCATGTGTGTGCGAAGGAAAGAAGGAAGAAGAGAAGGAGGGAATTTCTTTTGGACCACGCACCGATGACATTTATCGAACCTGTAATCTACCAACGCGATTCATGTACCCACGTGAGTCTGAATAATTCATTGGTAGTACGTTATCAATGGTCCATCAATCGTGTGTCCTAATGGTAACATTAGTTTTTTATAACATTAACGTTTTTGAAAAAGTATTTCATTCTGAAGTTTCGTGTTGTTAATGTCTCTACGTGGGGTGTTGAAACGGTTTCCATGAATTTTTCAATCGTGATCAATTCTGACCCAGAACTACGAAACGTTTCTTTCTGGTATTTTTAGAAAAATAATATTTAAAGCTGTCTGTTTCATGGATGCAATTGATTACAGGAATAAAGAGCGATTGAAATAATTCTTAGAACGTTTCGATCACCCACGCATCCGTAATACTTTTTTAAATTGTCTGGAAAGTGATTTCGCGTAACGTGAAAGCAACTCGTTTCGCCGTAGACTCCGCAATAAGAAGTTCTTCGTAGTGAAACGATAACGTTCTGCTATTAATAAGTCCGTACTGACGATCGTTACGTTCGTCGAAGCTTATCGGCGATGCAGACATTTTTGCATATGTCATAGGAACCCTTCACAAGATAGGCATTGTTTCGAGTATACGCGATTCCTCTACGTTCAATAACCACTTGTCATTAAATAATCATTTTGTTTCTTCGAGCCCAGGAAAATATTTTAAAACTTACCTGAACTACAACCACTGAATATTTTATTCTACATTCCACGAAAGAGTACATAATTTTCAGGTTAAAATAACAAAATATAAATCGTGCAAACAGATGCACAAAAGATCCACGAAGGATGATAAACAATGGATGAGTTCAATTTTAATAATAAAATTGAGTTTCAACGTAGAAACGTTAGCGCGTTACCCCCATCGGTGTCAGAACACAGAGGGTCTGTGTTTCGCGAGCAATTGGCGTTGAACGGTCTTAAAATGAATAAAACATCTAATTTCTACGGAAACCAGAATCGGACGACGAGTTATGGCTTACAGAGTATAGCCGATATATTTATCCAATGGTATCTGTCGAACGGTAACCGTCCGTTTATTCCGTCGACAGCACGTATGTTGGTCGCGCGTTCAGTGCGTATCCAGCATCTGAGCACACCATGTGCTTCCTCTTGCTCGTTTATCTCCTGTTATCGGTCACCGCTCAAGACGTTACCACCGAGGAGGTGGATTGCCAAGTTTACAACCATCTATACGTTTGCCTGGCCAACGGTGTGTTGCACAGTGTCTCGTTCGAGGATGTCAACGCGGTGCAGACTATCGAGGACATAGAATTGCACCTAGAAGGTCTAGGTATCCAAGATATAGCCAAGGACGCTTTCGTCGAAGTGGCTAATTCCTCTGCCCTCTATATCCGTGACAATCACCTCTCAACCATCTCCAAACATTATTTCTCTCCTCTGGATCAACTGACCTACCTGGACCTGAAGAACAACACCCTCATCGACATCGAAGACGGAGCTTTCATGAAATTGCACAGTTTAGAAACATTATTGTTGGACTACAACAATATCACCTCTTTCAGACCAGCCATGTGGAGAGGTCTAGGCGATCTTCACGAATTATACGCAACGAATAATAATATCGTACTGAAGAGGAACATGTTCAAAGGACTCAGACATCTGGAAACTCTGGCTTTGGATTCGAATGAAATCACGGAAGTACCGGTCGGAGCGTTCAATGGACTGCCTCATATCGATCTTTTATATTTGTCCAGAAATAAAATCTCCTCTTTGCAACCGGACGTATTTCGCGGACTCGGTGAGATCAACGAACTGGATCTGGGAAGAAACCAACTGAGAACTATTTCCGGAGGGGTTTTTCGGTATCTGAAGAACCTGAATTCTTTATGGCTGAATGGAAATCAGATCGCCATGCTGAAGACGGATAGCTTCGAGGGATTGGACAATTTGTTGCTTCTATTTCTGAACAACAATGAGCTACGTTTCGTCGACATGTCCGCGTTTGCTAGAATGAAGAACGTTACTGTCGATCCTGGTTTCAAGATACGTGGATTGATCATGGACAATGTTTGCAAAGTGCAAGGACGATTTCGATGTGAAAACATAGAATATCAATTGCCTTATGAGTGCACTAAGATAGAACTATAATTTTGTATTTTACAGTATTGTATCCAGACTTTTGTATAAATTTTGTATGATTCCTAAGGTGAAAATAAGCGTTCTTATTTTCGATAGTTCTTTAGATCACGGTTTATGTAGGATATTGATGTTTGGAAAATATATTATTCATTGGAACAGGAGAAGTGTAATTCAGTTTCGATGGGAAACGAGGAGCATTTTTATCCGATAAGGGTTGTTTTTCCAGGCGTGTTCCAGGGATATCGACAGGACGAGACTCCTCTCCCTCATCCTTGTTACAGGAGCACGACGATGGACTACGGATGGTACGCACCGACCGTTCACACAGTGCCCACCAGATATTATCCTCGAAATACTTCTTTCAGTGAGGGCCAAGCAATCGGTGGGATGTATCGAAACTGCTCCGTCAATACAGAATTGGATAAAAGCGTTGTTTAGATTTTTCGTTTATCCTTTTTGAACTGTCTATTAAATCTTGTATTAATTTTGCATGTCTTGAATAATAAATTTTTGAAACTTCACATTTGTGTATTTCTTCTTGTAACAAAATCATCTATTAATGTCCTTGTAATAAGTTGAACGTTATAGATCAAGTTGGGCTATTACTGAAAGATAAGGTTTCGAAATTAAAAACATTCGGGGATATAATACTTTACGTGTATATATATATTTTTTGTTTTATTATTACATTTTAGCTTACGTACCGCTTCGTATTTTTCAACAGACCCTACACGGGCCACCCTGGGTTACACGGTGTCCCGACGCTAGTAAGGATTAAAAGTGTGCCTTTTATATTACGATTACTGGAATTATTGTTTTTTAATTTTTTTTTTTACGTTCACTACCTTTGTCTTCGTTTACAGATTTACTAGGATTTATCGTCAAGTTCTGAAACAACTCTGCGCAACTCGACTTCGGAAGTATCATAACATTTTCATTATAATCTTGAGTGCATGCCATTCGTCGATTACGCTGCTTAGTATGAACATTATTTACTGATAATTGTAACTTCAACATGTATATATATATATATATTTATATATTTATAAATGTGTGTACATAACACAATGAGACAGCTCAATTCGTCATAAGAGTTCTTAACATTTCAATGTATTAACAACCATAACGACCTCCAAAACGTTCCGCACGTTTCACAGTCAAATATGGTAATATTTGTCCGATGAGAGGATGATACACGATTCTATTCGAAATTCTGTAACGTATGTCCGTGCTGTCTGTTCAAGGGCCACGTCGAACATCTCACGCAACAACAAAAAATCCGATATAATGAATTCCAGAAACACGCGACGATTGATCAAAGTAGCGTGTCACCATCGATTCTTCGTGTTCAAACAATTTAATCAAACCCTCTGAAAAATCATCGCTTAAGTGGATTACTTTTTTCGATCGATCTTTCGCTCAGAGATTTTCCACATCACGCCACGTATCAAAATGCTCTGAATGACGTCGCGTGGAAAACTGTGCGAAAGAACGAATCAGTCTTCGTCGAATATCTCGCGTTCCTAACTCGTGTTAACAGCGAATCAACGGGAGATTGATCGTACCTCTCGCGTTCTGTTTGTCGTCTGCGAACGTTTTAAATCATCGTTGCGATTAATAACCAGTCCCGTCGTGCGACGACAAAGATACTTGACTCCTGATGAAAATTTAATTAAGGCCATGAAATGATCACAGGGCATCAAGTGTAGTTGATCCTTTTTTATATCATCGGGAAGACCTCTTTGATGCTCCATGAAATTTCGTGCTCGTTATCTACTGGCCTCACTTTTCCACACCTAATCGATACGATCAAAAAATAATCGACAATTGATTACGTATTGAATAATTTTGGATGGATATTGTTTTTTATCATTGAACGATCGATAACGAGCACTCGACGTGCACCCAACTATCTCTTTACACATGTCCTCTCTTCTATCTATACACAATCCTATACATTGTACTACATATCTTCTTGTTTGTCTCTCGAATTCTCAATGTGCTGCGCTTAACATAGTTTAGAGCTACCCCCATTTATATTTCGGTGATGAATGAATCCTTAACAGCTAAAACGATGACAGATAGAACTCGCATTTTACGCAATCGCTTAACAACCCTCCCTTTTCTTCCTTCGTGTTTAACATAGTGGCTAGATAGAACGGTAATAAATGGTCGTACGATCGTGGGATCGGTGATTAGTTGCGTTCGATTCGATTGAGAAATACGATGGACGTCGCGGCGACGATCGTCGTCCCTCGATCGCGATCATTCGTTGTTGTTCACTCGATATCCTATAATCAAAACGCTCGAAACCATAACTTATGTGTTTTCGAGCAGTCTTAATTATGGGTGCGGAGGAAAAGAAAAAGAAAACAGAGAAAACGCGATCGACGATGCAACGTCCGATCGAATCGCGCGATCGAACTCGAATCTCGTCCTTCGTGGAACAACGTTCGAACGTTCGATCGCGAATGGATCCAAAGGGAAAGGTCTAAGTGATTTCGCGACGCATCAGGGATACGCGCGTCGCGAAAGAGAACAACATCGAGATTTAATACTAACGCTACTCTCACACATGTCTCCTTCGAGAGGAATGATATCCCCCTCGTTATTACCTTATATTGTCGTTACAATTGATATCGAATATCGACATAAACTGAGGATCGTCTTGAGGGTGACTCTATTTGGAAATCGTCAAACGGCGTTTATATTAAATAATTTTTCGTTGGCCAATTGAAATAAATAAAATTACATCAGGGTTATTTCTCTGGAAAATACGAAAAAGTCTAACACAAAATTAACGAGTATAGAAATTACCACCTCAAAGCCATCTAAAATACTCTTCTTCGATTTCTTAATTAAACATACACTTCTAATTTGATAAAAAAAAATCACCTAATATAAACACAATCTAAAGAAGACGATCAACAATCAGAGACACCAGGTGGACGTTACCTCGTTTAATTATATTCGCTGTTTCTTTTTCTCCTCGATTTATATAGCATTCCGATCGATTTACAATTAATTAGACCTGAAATCTTCCTTACACCTTACAACGTCGTTATATCCATCGAACAATAATGTTGCCCCTGGCTCGTATCATACTTTATAATATACGTTTATGCATTATCGTCGTTATATAGTCGTGTTATTTGAGAGTACGAGAGTCAAGTGATTATAGTACATGTGACTAGCACTCATTTTGAAATCAAGGAGATAACATACAGGTTACATACAGGGTCTAACATACTCGCTAGCTTAACTATGATAATAATTTCGCCTTAATAATTGCTGTTATTGTTAGTATTATTGTTATCTTAGGGTTCGTTATACAGAGACACTGAATAATTATAATCATAGGAGCGTTCGTACTATCGAGACATAAGACGTGATGTATCCAAATAAATACGATTCTTTTAATCGTGCGAAAATGTTCGATTTACAATTCATCCATTCCATATTCGTTGTAGTGATTTCGCACAGTTTGATATATTTACCAAGGAATAATAAATAGTGAAGGATTCTAAAATAAATTTTAAAAAATTTCTCATATGTAATGAGGTAATTAGTGAAAAGTTTAAACTGAAAAATGAAGGAATAATATTCTGAATTATTAAAAATTGACAGCAAGTGAGAAATTAAGATCGTTAGTTGGATAATCACGTTAATGATTCGCCTACGATATTCATCGACGAACGCCCGATATTCTCGGCGAGATTATTAGGATCTTCTTCACTTAACATATCTCTATATACTCTAGACTATTACATTTATTTCGTAGCTTATCTCGCGATTCTCCAATGAGCCCAATGAAGTATCGCGAGAAAAACGACGAAAAATCACGATGGTAACACGAAAGTACCCTATTGCAGCGTTATCAGCCTCATCAATCCTTCTTGTTTCCTCTCCTCCTACATATCTTTTTAATTCCTTTTCTCTTTTATCGGAACACACACACGCGATGTCGTTATCCAAGGCATCTAAGCTTAGTTCCACGACCTTAAAGTATCTACGGAAGGTTAACTCTTAGCCAACAACGGTATCGAGTGACGCAAGGATTCTAAATAGATTAGCTTAACCGTAGCACTACTTCCGGCAACAAGGAAAATGATAGCAGACAACGAAGAAGATTGATTCGGGAAAAACACCGTGAAAAAACCAGACGCGAGATGGTGCGAATCTTTTTTTAGAGAATCCATTAGCCTAGTTTGGTATTGCTAGCACGTGGCTATCTACAAATTATGGTTCACTAGTGTACATTGAAATTAACGAACATGTATGTTTAACAATGGCTGCTCACTACATCACACGGGCACTAGAACGAATATGTTAAAAGTCGTTGATCAAGGATTCTTGCACGATCAAGCAACGAAATGCTCGATGATGTCCGTTTGATCGATGTCTGATTCGTACGATCATCCGTACACCATACTTAGAACGTACATAATTATTGCAAAAATAAATTCCTACGAATGCAACAATCTAGAAGTTTACTTCTTAGAAAGTATCGGGTCGAACTGAAAATTTTTCAAAATTGCTTCGAAAATAACTTGTAAGAGTTTCTATAATGTACGTCACAAAATGACTAACGTTAACAATTATTTGTGATTATTTATGAAAATTGCATCGACCCCAGCTTTACGTTTTCTTTATGAATACTATTAGGTGCGTGTAAGTGCAGTCGTAATCATTTACGATAATTGTCTAAATGAAACGCTTGTCGGTAAAATATTACCGTCAAAGGAATCATTGATATATTTGTCAACTCTCGTTAGTCACAGACGTTAAACGGATGATCGTTTTCCTTAACACATCGACTGCCAGGCTGAATTATACGAATGATGGACTCCCATGGAGATTCAAGGGTTACTCATTATATGGATGGCAGTGAATGTGTTAATACGATTCCAAATTTGCCCTTTAAATGGATAATCGCTAAGATATTTCCGACGAAGCGTATCGCTAATTGCCGTCACAGTGATCGAAGTCAATGCCGTTGATTCCTCTAGACTGCAACACTTGTATGTACCCAACTGCCTCTTCTATGTTTCTATCCTAGCTAGTGCGTAAACTTGCACCCCTGAGATATTCGTTATCTTTAACCGCGTCTACGTAAACAGTACGAATCGAACACGCTGTTCATAACCAGTCTATCGAGCTTTCGTTTCGTTTCTCCGCGTCGTGGCGTCAGCTCCGAAAGCGTGTCTCTTCAGCTTCTAATTGCAGAAAGCTTTGTACTTGATCGAGCGACTCCAGCTGTTAAGATTGTCCGTGATCTACGTACGAGAATTTATCTCGTCGTTACATTGCAACACCGTTTCGATGACTCTACTCTGAACATTCTAATCTCACGTTCGTCCTGATCTGTTAATTGGAAAATTGTGAAATTAGACAGCTTTGATACGCTAACTCCGAAGGTTCTGATCTATTCCCGCGATTCACGCTCTATCCTTCCTACGAATCATTGCCTGTCGCGTGGACAATTGATCTGAATGAAATTTTCAAGCCAAAGAAAGACCCCTACGTCTGACCAGTGCACATTTCAAGATAAACTAATGCTGAAGCGACTAAACGTTTAATTAATATCGCGATGCCGTGCTACCGTGAATGTGATCGAACGATGCGAATCGAATCGAACGCTCGGTTTTGTTCGAGAACGCAATTTTCGAATGACTGTTCGATCTCCGTAGTTGGACGGTGTATCTGCGTTTATCCACGATGCCGAGAATATGCGATGAAGAAGAAACAGCTCGTTGCGATGATCGTGCGATATGGCGTGCACGTGTTTTTCGATATTATGTATATATAAAAAGTACAAACAACTGATCTTACGGTTAAGTGCACGGTGACGGTGTGTGGATTTTTAAAAAACGCGATCGTTATTCCGTGCGTTTTGAATTCAGTGAGAAACGTGACAAGAAGGACACTTAAGTATCAAGGCACATCGAAAACCAAATCGTCGTACGTCTATTACATTGGGAAACGAATTTGTAACCTTGCTCTTCTAACGAGTAACTAACCCTTCTAACTAAAGCTAGACACTTGTGAAATATTGATCGATTATTAATTGTGCAGTACAGGATGGATTAAGTTCACATCTTTGCTTACAATTGTATTCCTAAATGTCAACACCGATTGGAATAACTTTGATTAAGTCGAATCGAAAGCAAGAAGAGGCAATACTTTCCTTTCGCAATCCTACGCGTGTCTTATCGTACTCTTGGAATTAACTAAATTAATTGAAATTAAGTTTGTAACTTCTATCGGAATGAAAGTATATCGAAATACGAAATTAAGGAGGAACTAAATGTTGGAAGGAATTACAATTCTATTTTCTTCCTTTCAAAGCTGACACCACGAGGTCTGTCTTCGTCGTAATACGTTTATCAGCCCTTAAGCTAAGATAAATTGAGATCATTGGATAAAGAAGTTATGTTATTTCTTCCTTTATTCGTCACTTATCGATTTCCCTTCTATCCAGTCGGTACCGAGTCAAAGAAGCTTTTGTAAATCAGTGTCAAGCAGGTGAACGCGACTATATTTGCAGATTATCAATGATTTATTCTCAGAATATTTGAAATTTCACTCGATCGAATAATCGCAAGCAGAGAATGCCCGTGGTTTCTTCATTCCCGCGACACCTAGCGGTCGCTTCATCTTTCGCTTCCCGTTCCTAGTTCACGAACCCGTTTATAAACATTTTGATTTCATTCGGTATTGTTCTTAAACTCTACGGAGCAACGAACGTCTCTTTTTCCCCGCGAATTTTCGAGACATCGACGACGAAAATTACGAAGAAAAAAGAAGCAATTCGTTATCAGAATGCAGGACAGTTTTCAACATCGAGCTGCTCGTTCTATCCGAAGCGACCAATTTTGACTGAACCAAATCGAACGATCGTCGGTCGATGAATTTTCCTTAGCCGAAAAGTGTAGTTACATGAATAAGAACCGACGAATCACTGAAGAATTTTCTCGCCGTTTCGTCCAAACGTGTTTGCCTTACTCGCACGCACGATGTCAACCTACTGTCCGTTCTCGAAATCTTAATGACTATTTGTGCGCTTAAGATACAGACACGTAGATCTTGTTCTTAGAAACTGGCCGAAAGTCATTCGATCGACCAGCAACCGATCTACGTAGCCTTCTCTAGCCAAATGTTCAAGTATAATGCCCGAATCTCCTCTTTTTTGGTTTCCTCAATCATCGTTGAATGACGTCGGCTTATAAATACTTTTTAACAATTTTACAAATATTTCACTGTAAATCTTTCGTCATCCATTCAAATTTATAATCCAACCTTTCTTTCTTCCTTTCTTTTTTTTTATCTCATCTCTTCTTCTTCTTCTTCTTCTTCTTCGTTCCTTTCCTTCTTGTTAGACAAATGTCTATTTTAATAATCGAAAGTTAAGCCTAAAAAGTAGACGCCTGAAGTAAAGTCGGATGAGGAGATGACAGGGGCCTCTATGGTACTGTTTCCTGTTGGAATCGAAAAACCAAGTGGCAACGGTTCCCGTAAAACGAGACAGACGAGTATGCAGAACGGATACGTCGATGGTAAGCCAACATAACCGGACACGCATGGAAAACTATGATTTACTCGTATTAACCTGAGAATACTTCTAGCCGCTATTTAAATGCTGAATACATCGAATACATAGAATCTACATTACTCTTTTTTTTATTTTTTCATTCTTTAATATACATAAACGACCACGGCACTCTTTTAAATCCCCCTTAATTTTCGTTCACCCTCCCATTATCGAAAAATACACACATTTACTGACTCACTAAGCACCCGACCTCGACCTAGTAAAAGATTGAAACGAAATTATGCGATAGCTGATAAGAACAAACTTTACATCCTTCTTAATTTAATACAATGCAATCGCAAAAAGAGACGAGTTGAAGATAAAATTATTTTCAACGAATGCAAAACGTTAACGAGTTATGTTTTATGTTTTTACACATCGCCGTGGACCGTTAGCAAAATGTACATCTTTATATCGCGCTCGATGCGAGTGTCATTTAATTACCCTCGATAATCTGCAAATATATCGGTGTCACGCTTGCTCTCCAATAAATCCTAACGTTTATTAAAGTACATTACGTGCCGAGTGTCTCCAATAAAGTTTTACACTCAAACGTAAAACTATCCGTAAACTTCTCGGAAGTTAATCGTAAATTACGTGTAAAAGGAATGATTTTGAATGGAAGAGTTTTAAATCAACTCATTTTCACCTTAAATACCTTTTTTCTTTCGTCTAACTTAAATTGCAGCAACTATGACTTCCTTTGCTTCAGTACATCCGTTCAGTAAATTTACATGTCACCGAAGATACCAGCAAAGGTTTTCCGCAGATTTTTCATCGTATCCTCGGTATCTTCGCTCTGAGATTGACTGCCCTGTCTGTGGAAAGGTACTCTCGATGTTGGAACTTCCTCTGGACGTCTACCGACCGAAGGAGCACTGCTCACTGTACTCGATTGTGATGCTGCGAACAAAATATTCGTGTTTTGTATTAAACCTCTGTCTCGACGGACCAATGAACGAAGATGAGGACGAAGAGCGGTGAGCGTACGATGGGACAGTTGAAGTAGATTAAGGGAGCCTGGTCAGGCAAATAATGGAGCACTTCGAATCTATTCGAATATAAATTGCACATAGATAAAATTTCAAATCACTTTGAATTTCATTCGATTTTTATAAGTTTCGAAATTTTTGATAATCCTGAAATTTTGTAAATGTTAATACGATGAAATGCTAATTGTAAATCAAATATCTTCCTTATGCAAGTAAATTCAAGTACTTGGGTATGAAAAGAAATGTTCGTTATGTCGATTAACGAACCTTGCGAATCACGACGCTGCAGTTGATGATGACTATCGGAAGTGGTCGTGTCGCCTGCCAACGCAGTGGTGGACCCCACGGACCCTAAGCTTCCTATGCTCGCCATGGAGCCCATACTTCCGTGAGATCCCAGTGGTGCGGTTGGTGGTGCAGTGCGATCTTCAACAGGGCTCGTCGCTTGACTGGAGCCAGACATTGACCCTCTGGACGCTGTTTTCGTCAGCATGCTTGGAGGACGGCAGCATGCCTGAGCGCAAAGACAATTAGTGCGACAGCCGAAGAAAGAAAAACAAAAAGGAAAACGGAAGTCCTTTCAACAGCGTTGAAAATCAACGAAAGTTAATGGTAAAGTACACGCGGCAGAATGATCTTTAGAATCTATAGAGTTTGACTGATTGATTTTCACGTTAAAATGTTACCTGCATCTTCGCGGTAACAAGATCCGCAATGTGACGACGATCCTCCTCTTGCGAATCGCCCATTAACGACAACGCGCTGTCGTTCACCTCGATTATGTATTCCCGACCATCCTTTCCGACCAACAGCTCGATGGCGCATATGTCCAATCCCCCGAACAATTGGGCCACATGATCGACCCAAGTTCGGTGTCTTTCGCTCACTGCTAATTGCTCCAACATCGCCGAACCCGTGTTCGACTTCCAATTTCCGCTTATGCTCTTCCGCCTGGGTCAGACGTTCGCACAATCACCGTGACAATGGATTCAATGATTTGCCGTGTGCTAATCGCGATTGTTTGATTAATTAACCTCCCGGCGATAAGGTGGGATTAAGCTAAAGTTCCGTCAGAGTATTGCAAATAAATCTTAATCGTTTACGACCCACGTGTGTCTTATAGGTTTGATCGAGCGCTATTGTTTAGAATGATCTATGAAATTTGGATATTCTAATGAAGATAAATTACTTGTTCCTAGAGTAATATGATTTTGTATGTGAGATCTTCTTATTCCTACATTGACGTTTAGTCAACAAAAGTCTAAGTTCTGTGAGAAATAAATTTGATTAGAATTGCAAAAGATCAATTCCGCGTGGGTCGATTAAAAATCTACAAAACTGGTATTGTTCTAAATCCAACGCAATGACACACGAGTATCGTAACATATTAGGTGAGACAGAATGCAAAACACGGTTTGATTTAAAACTCGCGTTAGCAATTACGTAACGATCGTTCCACCTTACCGTCCGGGGGTTGAGCGATTTCCTCTTAAATTTCTACCACGGACAAGCAACTCGGTGACACTCGTGACAGACGTTTCGTGACACTCACATGAACGCCTTGTAGTTATTGCCTATTTTCTGCACGTGCACGTCGTACTTGGTGTCGATGTACGGTTCCGACGTGCAGTAAACGTTCGCCAAAGCAGCCAGCGAGGCGAGATCTAGAAACTCTTGATTCGTCTCGGCACGAGCTTTTCCAACTCCACCGTGGGCGTGTCCGAGTTTCACCACAACCGGATAACGAGATGCGCTTACCTGAAAATATCGATGATCGGTTAGAAAAAATAACGAGCACGATCAGACGCTCGATCGGGGATCGCTTCGAGCTGCCTGAACGCAATAAAATGATTCAAAATTCTACTTCCTAGGCGAGAAAATTATTCTGTAACACGAGTTTGCTTGGTGAGACAAAAAGTTGGAATCAAATAGGATACAGGATGTCTTCGAATCAGCATGTAACAATGTCTTAATGAAGAGTTGAAACGACTCTACATCCGGCAGCTAAATTAGTTCCACAGTCAAGCGTGTTAAAGAGACATTTCTAATCTCTAAGAACGATCGCAATAGTTTCTAATTTATTTCCAAACGTAATTCAATACGCCTAATAGTTGGTCCGATTTAATAATCCTTGCGTTACACGTCGATAACGACAACTGCAGACGGTTATATAACGAACGGTTGTCAAGTCGAAATGCGTTTGTCACGTTTCTGCATCGACCTATGGAGAATCGATTAACAATGCACGCGTATTCAGCATTCCGCATTGAACATCGAGGGAAACCAGTCGGATGGGACGCCTACCGCAATCTGGCCCTCTTGTCTTCGATAATCGAATACATTAACCAACATCTATGGATGAAGATCAAAGTCAGCCGATACGCGGGCGTTTGATTAAACATTACACAGGATATTCGCGTGGGCGACGTAAGATTATTAACGCGATGCTAATGTTTCAAGTTGCGAAACGAGTTCACCAAACACCATTCCCTCGGGATATCTATTTCTCTCGGCTCGAGAAGCCGAGAAGCGTATCGCTGGAAACCGACACGCTTGGCCATTTTGATAGAATACGAGGATGCCCGAGGGCGTTCGAAAACCGTACCCTGTATCCAATCGTACCGGTTCCCCTGGCTTTTAATCGTGAATCAGTTGGAGCGCAGGATCCCCAGCGACCACGAATCCTTTCTCGGTTGATTGCACGGTAATCGAGTTAGGAAAAAGAGGGTAAAGACGGCGTAAAATGTGAACGCTCGCTGGACAATCCCGTTACCGCAGATAGCCGTGGAATTCCTTGTCGATAGAAAGCAATAAGCATTAGGAGAGCTTAATAGACACTCGAACCTTAGCCCGGGGATACTTTAATCTCTTTCCCTTTCAAATACGGTAGAACCTCGACTTATCGTCACTCTATTTGTAGGAACAAGTTAATGCTCAGTTTCGAATGGTTAAAAGAAACATTATAGGAAGACCGTAATTTTGAAGCAACCAATAAATAATTGAACTGTATACACTGTTCTATACTACTTCTACAAAGAGGGCCATTTTTGCGGTGTCTGGCTGGCTCGTTGATGGTTGTTTACAAAAGCGTATTCACGCAGAAAGAGGAAGCGATTGATCAATGAATTGGTTTGATAGGCTGACGTCCGGTCGCTGACACACCGACAGAATAATGCACAAATCGTAACGTACCCACGTGTTTGTGCCGACACGTGGGTGTCGCAAAAGTGCCTTCCTGAGCACCGCTGGACGCGTGTCCGTTTCCCCTTGTGCCACGAACACCAACGAAGGGATCAACGGCGAGGGACACGGAGATAAATCATTTATCGTGGCCCCCTCGAGCTCTTCGACGGCGAACCGAGGGGTGTCGCTTTCGATTTTCTTCCTCGTACTTGAACGTACTAAAAATAATACTCGTTTCGCCCGGTACCGGCGAACATTTAAGGTCTCTGCTTAAAACGATATTCAAAAGGTAAAAAGACCAGACGGAGAGGCGGTTAATCGAGGAACACCCATCGTTAACTGTTTGTACATTCGAATTCCTCGCGTTCTTCGAATTCGGTGATCCACGCCTATGTTAAGTTATGTATCTTCCCCGACGTAGCTCTAAATGTAAAACAAGTCTGGAAGGCCGTCAAGACGTAATTCACCGAATTTAACACGGATCGATATAGCGTGTATCTAGAAACGCTAACGCGTATTTTATCGGTTTCCGTTTATTGAACGAGAGACCCGATGGAATGCCGGTTCCTCGATTCCGAGCTGTTCGACGTTTACCGGCTGTCCAGGAGACAAAGTACGTTACGGTCTCTGGCCACGTTCGAGTTCGAGCTCGAACGAAACGATCAAAAAGACCCGGCAGACACGTTAAATGATAGTAATCGTGGATCAAACGGTGACGAGTGGAACCCCCGCGAGCACGTTTCGGCGAACGAGCGGGACGGAGTGAGCGGGTGGGTCGAGGGGATGGAAAAGGAGGGCAAACGGTCGTGAAAAATGTAGATCGACGAAGTTCGAAAGCAGAGAGGAAGAAGACGAAGCGAAGCACCGGTGAAACCGAGCAGGGAGGCTCGATTCGACGTAGAAGGAGGACTGTGGGTGGCCGGCGAGAGACGCAAAGCGAGCCAAGGTATACACCGTCAAAAGGTGGGGGATGAGAGGTGAAACTCAGGTGGGGAGAAAAGTTTGATGGAGGGGATGGTGAAGATCACAGGTAAAGAGAGAAAGACGGGAGGAACGATAATGAAAATGCGCGAAAGAGACGGCCGCAAGAATCACGGACGACGGACGAAGAAAGGTGAGAGAGAGAGAAAGAGGGAGCAAGGCCGCGAGGAAAGTAAACGAAGAGGCAACGAGAAAATCGGAAAGAAAAAGAAAGAGAGAAATATATTTAAACGATGGAAATAAGGAGAAGGGAGAGGGGAGCGGTGGGAAAAGATCATCGAGTTGAAAAGAGAGAGAAACAGGGTAAGCCGTGGCTGAGAAACGCGACGAACAGAGAGGGAATGAGGCGGGTAAAAGTCAGAAACGGAGGACGAAGACGGAGGACAGGTATGATTGAACGCGAACGAGTAAGATGGAGAAGGTAAAAGGAAAAGAGACGGATAGCAAAGAGATGAAAAGAGAAAGAAGGAACGGTGAGATCGATGTAAGAACGTAGGAAGGAACGAGAGGCTGCCGTGTCGTTCGCGCTTGCATTGCTTTTCGAAGCTCGCGCGCGAACAGTCGACTCTCGGTGCGTGCGTGCGTGCGTGTAGGTAGATCGATAAACACACGTGAAAATCCCGTCGGTCCTCTTTCGCGCCCGATGCTATATCGCGCGAGACAGTTTGCTAAGTCGAGATTGGTACGCGCGCGCGGAAGCTCGCGAAACTCGCCGCTCCTTGCCAATTCGAAGCTCGTAGTACACGGTTCGAAGGGAAGGCGAGAAGTCCACGCGTGTTCGTATCACGCGGAACGCCGCGCCGGCTCGAGGTAAGCTCGTGATCGAGATCGAATCGTCGACTCGTCGTCAAAGGAATTCCCTGTTCGCGATTTCGTAGAATGATCGCGAGGCTTTGAGGTCAAGCAAGATAACGGTTAGGAAGGTAGAGTGCAAGTAAACTCACGGTGGACGAGGAAAGCCGAAGCGGAAGGATCTGCACGGGGTCACGGAGAAAGGTATCTGTACATCGCATGTGCGATTTTCCCATTGTGCCGTTTCCGCGTTTGTACCGCTTGTTTCTCTGCGCTCGACATGCGGCAAATGTCTTGCTACCTCAACTTATCGACCCTTGCTCGACTCGTTGCTAAACCAACGTGTATCATTTACTTTCGCAGACATGAAAATATTCGTAATTATCGTCAGGTTGATGCTGGAGAATTTTAAACAGCTACTGTCAACTGTGTCAGAATATTATTTAGTCGAACAGCGTACGCGACCGAGAATTTAGAACACACGCGATGCACTTTCGAGCCGAAGTGCTAATCTTCGATTCCGCTTCGCTTTAGATTACATTCGACGCTTTATTGAACTCGCAATCAAAACCATGACATCATTGGGTATTGGCAAAAATAAACATCGCTAAAAGCAATATCGCACACTTCCACGTAATATCAATCGATCAACTTTGTTACATGATATTATACAATATGTACAATACGGTATTATCGGCTCGTTTTATGAGTAATATCATTTTCACACGTAACTTTGATACATTGAAAAGAATGATCGCAGTTAAAGTTAAAATAAGAAACAATATTACTTGTAAAATGACTTAATACTGTACATTTCGTTCGTTTTCAACAACGATTTAGCAATGTTTACAGGAAATTTTATACACGATGCGATTCAAATGCCTCGTTTCGCCAGATTATTAGTAAATATCTCGAGTCTTATGTAGCAAATAACTCGATAAATCGAAACGAGCGCGCGAAACGGCGTAGATTTGTTTATATCCAGCTCCGAACAGTACCAGATAAAATTTACGCGGAAATAAACGCTGGAATACTATTCGCACAGTGAAGAACGAAAATAACAAAGACGGAGATATCGAATCGTATCATTATGCTAATTTCGATCGTTGAACATTTATTATGTCCTATTCCCCGTGTAAGTAGCGTGTCCTGACATACCAAAAAAAAAAAAAATATTTGTCAGTTTTCGCTGTTACACGTAAATAAAACTCTCACCTGGTTATATTCTATCATCGTAATATAGTCTAAGCGACAGCTCGAGATATGAATAATTCATCGTACTAATTAGTCGAGGTTTGATCTATCGTGTCCAAGGCTGATGATCATCGTTTCCCTTTGCTAGCTACTTCACCGGTCTCGATAACGAAGACAGATCTGTGACGAAAGAAATCGACCAAGTAGTATATACCAATCGAACGAGAATTAATTAGTTCACGACGAATGGCTAAAAATTGCCAGCGGAAGTCGTCAGTTGATTATACAAAATATTCTAATCCGAGTGTTCCGCGTGATAAGGGAGATCTATAAATTCCTCCTGTATCGTGGATGTTTCGAAACGTGAAATGTAGTAAGGAAAAGAAACGATCGGAGAAGAAGTTTCTCAAAGTATGCTAATGAAATGTTAATGATATCGGACCTCCATTGCCAATTGCTGTTGACAAGGTGATAGAATCAATTTAAAAGGAAAGAACTGGAATATTATGCATGAATTTCAATCAATTACATTTCACTATTCTCATCATTGAATAGAAATAAAAATTAGATTCTACATTTATGAATTAAAATCCATCTTTCTATCGTCT